CACGCACGCACGCACGCACGCACGCACGCATGTTTATATATAATATGTTCGTGTATTCCGGGCACGTAAGTTTAATACGATTACTATGTTTCCCTGCAGCTATTGACTCCACACGCCATACAAGTGCAAACACCGCCCAGGCCCATACCCGGCATCGTGGAGGTAACGTTGTCATATAAATCCAAACAGTTTTGCAAAGGATCTCCCGGCAGATTCGCGTACATATGTAAGTGTATTCACYGAAAATTGTTGTAAATCAATAACAGTAACTCGCGTATTTCAAAAAATAAAAAACGTTTCGGAATATCTCCGATGCTGCTGATAGTAATATTGTATAAGCAACTTGATCGTAGCAAATCGTCATTATAATATTGTTRATAGAAAATATTATATTTATCATTTTAGCACTCAGTGAACCGACCATCGACTACGGTTTCCAAAGACTACAAAAATTTGTACCCAGATATCCAGGTGATCCCGAAAAACTGCCAAAGGTAAATCAAATTTACGCACTTATATTAAATATTATGACAGTTAATATAGGTAAATCCTTGTTAACAAAACATTGTTATTTAGTCGGATCGTGCTCTTTATAAAGTTTAGTTTATGCGATAGACTTGATATTATATAATATTCATCATATTATTTAATAATTATATTAGCATTTTTAAAAATTATCGATCAGGTTTTATTGTACTTATGTGAAATGTGGAAYGAGTAAATGAATTTAATTATAAAAAGTTAATTCGTTCATGTAGGTACTGCAAGATCTGCAGCTAATATAGATCGACATGTCAACCTGTAATCATATCTTTCATGTTAAATATTACTCTTCTCATTCAACTTATTGTGCTAATTTGTGTGGATTGTTTGTCAAAAAATAAATAAATGTTCCTATGGAAGTTTTTGCTTACTAAAGGTTATGCAATCCATCATGAAAAAATAATTTTACCGATACCAATTAAAGTACCTACATATTAATTCTAAAAAAAAAAAATGCACTTATTATATTATTAAAACGATACGATATGGTTATTATAAATATGACGAGAACAACACGCCGTGCTCAGAATTCATAATAATTCGATGTTTATAATCACACACGTTATAATGTGGTATTTTCGCAGGAAGTGATCCTGAAGCGGGCCGCGGATTTAGCGGAAGCACTTTATACGATGCCCCGGAACAATCAACTGTCACTATCGCTGCCCAGGTCGCCGTGCTCGCGGGACAGGGACGGCAACAACATGTCGACGACGGCGGGGCCGGTGGGCACGGGATTCAATCCGTACACCGGACAGCTGGCGGTAACCGTTCACGACCACGGTGCGACTGGTCAATGGAACGACGGTGAGTGCTGTAATGATATCATATTATTATTATTATAAGTTATTAGTTTATTGATTTCGTATATAATCATAACTATTCCAAAACGGTGTCTTAAAGTGTCTTACCGACCAGTGATCAAGGGTGATAAATGATAATTTAGAGGGTAAAAATGGAAAATAGTGAAGAAATCCCTGCWCAAAGTTCAAACCTACCGGCCGGGGTAGGATTATGCACTTGCATTGAAATTATATTTATATTTTTTRTTCGTTATCTACACGTGGGGTGGACGATTCTCAATTTTATTCCGACATAGGTGTGTGCAATGAATTATTATATATGTTATATAGAAAAACTGTGAAATCAAGTTATGTTTAAAT